TATCCTCCATCTTTGGGCAGCCATGTGCTCAGCGGGGCTTCTTCCAGGAAGCCCAAGCCTCTGCTAGCCACACCCAGGATTTCTTTAAACTAACCAATGACAGCCAAGGGAAGTGCGTGCCATGGAGATGACCACATCCTGTGTAACGAGACACCGACTTGCCCCTGGCCAATCAGCAGGGCCCACAGTCCTCTCTCTTCCCCTTACTATAAAACCTCTCTCCCGAGCTCTCTCGCCCTCTCTCTGCCACTTGGCTTACCGTTGCATCAGTGAGTGTGGTCGGGGAGCCGAACTAGTTCGAATAAAAGACTCTCTGCTTTTGCATCGGACTCGGCTGGCTCCCTGGTATTGTCTAATGGGGATCTTGAAATCTGGGCATAACATATAAGACATTTATTAACATTAATTCTAATTTTAGAATAAAATCAAAGTTCTAAAATATCAATATTAGGGTAAACTAAAGTCAAACAACACATGATATCAGAACCATAAAATACCCCTGACCTTCAGATTTGGGAACTGACTTTTAGAAGTATGAACCTTTATGTCTTATTTTATTCTTAAAGTTATCAATTAGGAAATGGAATCATATATTTTGATAGATTACACTTCCCTCCCTCTCTAGTTCCCATTTCCTAATTAATAAAGCCATTATATTCTTGTCCTATGGCTTTATTTGAAAGCATGATCAGGAGAGGTTTTGTGGTAGGCAGTTACACAGACTTGAGCAGAGCAAGGACAATGGGTCAGGTACAAAAGGTCATCAAGGTGGAAAACCCCAGGTGCCTAGCAATGGACAATCAATTGTAGGGTGGGACCTCGCCCCCAAGGTGACTTTTCCTCCCCTAGCATATAGCTGATCCTGAGGTTTGGGCCCCCTGACCTTTCCTCCCTAGGGATAACATCTAGGCCTAAAGTTGAATTTCAGTTCCAGGCCCAGAAAAGCAGCAAAACCAGACAAGCTGACCTTAGGTCCAGCTGCATTGAATAATGACCCCCATCCTGGTGCCTACCAATCAATCAGTGAGACCTAGACCCTGAATGGAAACACCTGGAAAGCTACTGAATATTCTATTGAGATCTCCCCTGGGACCTCCCCTAAGATCTTCACCCTTAAAACCCTTAGGACAGAGGACCCAGTGGGCTCTCCCTCCCAGGAGCACACGGGTGCCTTTCCCTTTCCCCTCCCTACTACCATTCCCTGCCCCAGGCATGTTACCATTAGCTTCCTCACTCCAAGCTCCAAGGGCCCTTCCTTTACCTCTATAACTTGTCCCTAAGCCCATTTCTTCTAAGAATTACTTTTTCTATCTCTGTGATTTTATAAATAATTTTATAAACAAATCCGCGCACAGGTAGGTGCCGGAAGCCAATTCCAGCATGTCAGCAGGGCTGAATCATCTGGAGATGGCTGAGGGCATTTCCCCAATCCTGAAAAGGATGGGTAAAATGATTGCTTGCTGCCAGACAGCTGAGGGCATCTCAATCTACATGTTATTGCCTCCTACTGGCCAAATACCTGAACAGCCGTAGGCAGTTTCACCAATCTGACAATGGACTCTGTAGACTAAACCCTGGCCTTTGAAGTGTATATCTACCTTGCCTTAGGACAATTTGTGTTAATAAATAGCAAGGGGTCTTGAGACAAGAACATAGTTCCTTTAGCTAAGTCTTCTCTGACTCCCCATAATGCTTTTCAAAATTATGTTTCGTCTCTGGACTCTTATTTAATTTATGCACAGCGCCTTCTCCAGATTCCTAAACCCTTCTAGATGCCGGATCAAGACCACCAGTGTTAGATGGGGTCCTTCGGGGTGGCCTATGGAGATGAGGCCCCAGCTCGCGCCCCCAGCCTCACAGCCCTGCAGACCCGCCTGGCACTCTGCCTTGACCTGAAGCCACCCGCTCACCTGCTCCACCGTCCCGCCACGGTCCCACTCTTGTCAGGGCCATTGAAGCTGGCAGCGCCTCCACTGCCACCCACTGCAGCACTGCATGCTGGTGCCCATCATGTTCCGTGCCACCCCCTGGTGGTCAGTGCACATCATAGTGACCACTGGAACTCCAGGTCTCCTGGTTGAAATCCCCGTCAAACGACCACCCAAGGGGACAATTTGCATATTAGTCTTTTATTATATCGGATGTTCTCTTATAGTATGGGTCTTGGCTCTGAATTCCATCCTAGCCACAACCCAAGTATTGAGGTTGCTAAACCCAGGTTTTGTCTGACCCCATCCATCAGACACCTGGTGCCACCCCTGGCGCCTACAATAGTTTCTCTGGGTCACACATCCAGGAAAAAGATCTTTAGTGCTAGCAGATTCTTAAACGTGTTAAATACACAGACTATAGCAGCCAAGTGACCCTTTGATCAAATTAGGCTTCAACCTGAGAGTGTGGGAAGGTTCAAAGGGATTTTTCTCCAGAGATTTCAAAAGTCTTGGTCATCTGTTGCCTTTCTACCCTACTTGCTCAAACTTTTGGAGCAAGTTGAAGAAACTGGGTATTTAGTCTGCAGAAGAGCTGTCTCTGTGGGCATATGATGCTGTCATCAACTACTTGTAGGACAGTTTAGTGGAGGAGAGAGTAGGCCCTTATGTGTGGACTTGAGAGAAAAAAACAAGGATGATATAGCAGTTATAGAGTTCTTCCTATGATAAGGGCTTTCCTACCAGCCTGAGATAGAAGTTTTCCTTGGAAACAGTGATCCTATAGTTACTGGAGGTAATTATGTATGGGCTGAGCAGTCATTTATTAGATATTTAGAAAAGAAGATTCAGTTTCTATGATAGTGGGGTGGGTCAATCTATTGATGATCCTGGGGATTTTTTTTCTAACCATGATAATTCATTGAAGAGTGAAATGCTATGCAGAGAACTTCTGTTGCTGACCATGACAGAGTAACTAGTAGTGGACTAGACCTTCTGATATAACCAATTATAAGATGGACAAAATATGTGGAACAACTGTTTTCAGACTTTGAACAACAACAACAAAAAACAAACAACAACAACAACAATAAAAAAAACCTGTGATCTCAAAAGATCACAAATGAGGCTAGCCCTGTGATTGGTTTCCCCATGGGTCTTCTGGGAGGTACTTTGTTAGGCTTTGGTGCATGAAAAGGAAATTAATTGCAGAACACAGGGCCCTGATTCTGGGCTGAACACACAGGGCAGGAAAAATGAGCAGGAACCCTGAAATTTAAAATGTATGGATGTTAGTAGTGCCGAATTTTTCGAACAAACCAACAAAAAGTTATCAGGGCACATATTAACCCCTAGACCAGCCGTGGGCAAACTACGGCCCGCGGGCCGGAATCGGCCCATTTTGAATGAATAAAACTAAAAAAAAAAAAAAGACCGTACCCTTTTATGTAATGATGTTTACTTTGAATTTATATTAGTTCACACAAACACTCCATCCATGCTTTTGTTCCGGCCCTCCGGTCCAGTTTAAGAACCCATTGTGGCCCTCGAGTCAAAAAGTTTGCCCACCCCTGCGCCCCGTGGTCGGCAAACTGCAGCTCGCGAGCCACATGCGGCTCTTTGGTCCCTTGAGTGTGGCTCTTCCTAAGCCTTAGGAGTACCCTAATTAAGTTAATAACAAAGTTAATAGTTTAAGTTTAAAAAATTTGGCTCTCAAAAGAAATTTCAATTGTTGTACTGTTGATATTTGGCTCTGTTGACTAATGATTTTGCCGACCACTGCCCTAGATGATGGAACTGCCCCGGCAACTCAATTGGGTCCCTTCCCTGCATCAGGGAGCTTTTCTGTAATAAAACTGCTTTCACTCATCTCTTTTGTGAACTCATTCTTTGATTTTGAGAGACAACAAACTCAGACCTGAACAGAAATTTTGGATATCAACAACTTGGAGAGTATGAACAAAAAAGGGATGCTGTAATAAGTCATAAATTCCTCACTGAGCAGGTCATGGTGGGTAGTCACACCCAAGGCACATATTTCTTTAGTGAAAAGTTTAAGCAAACCCTGTCTATTGTTCTTGTGCATCTAGGTGAACACACCTTTGAAATGCCAGAAGTAATTCCTTTTGAAGGTGTGATCAACTTCAAATGAGCATATAATCTTGAACCTGTAATCCAGTCCCCACCT